AGCCCCTGGCATACTGGGTGCTGTACTGCTGCCCTGTCTGTCTGCAATTCTTCACCCTATGCCTGCTCAATCTATACTTCACACAGGTAGGAGGAACACACCCCCTTATTTCCACCATCTCTTTGTGTGTGTGTGTGTGTCTGAGAGAGAGAGAGAGTGCAGTGCCTTTGACTATGACCTGATTTCATAAATACAGCTGACTCTGCACTTCTATGCCATTTACATTAATTACATTACATGCATCTATTCCTATTTCGCACAATTTTGCTCTTGTCCAATGCTTTTCGGTACCCCATTGTTCTCTGTTCCCCACTGCAGCAGCCCCAAAAGATACAGCATAGAGCTCATCCTCATTGTAATTAATTTGGGCTCAATATCTTTTCACTTGGGGGTTGAAGAATGTAATCATCTTCATTGATTTTAATTACAGAGCCCCAAGTTTCATAAATGACATCTGGTTTGATCCGCTGCTGCCCACGAACAGTTTTGTCATTGATCTAGTAATTTCTCATAAACTGAATGATCAAAAAAGTAGAATCCTATTGTAGATATTGTAGACTTTTCCAGATGGTTCCCAAGTTCTAATGCATATAATCAATAGTTTAATAAATACATATGACTTAAATGCTTTTAGAATAACGATTGAGAACACTGCTGGCTGCTGCTATTGCAAATATATTTGAATACGGGTGATGTAGGATGTGGCTTTTGCTTCGGTCTATTGGAGACACGCACTTCACTTTATCTTAATGTCCGAGGGAGACTTGGTAAAAGCTTGAATTGCTGTCCTGGGATCGGCGGACAATAGTGGTGGAGCAGAGGAGGGAGGGAGATGTAGGAGGAGAAAGGGGGATAGGAACCCAGCACCTGCCCACTGCATATGTCAAGGACTCCCCTGTTCTCCCACGTGCAGCAGAAGCACTTCCATCAGTCTCTAATGGATGTAGAAGAGGAAGTCGTGTCTTGTCTAAACTCTGCTGGCCTAGTTTTGATAAAGGTGATGAAGTCAAAGTGTCACATGTCTGTCTGAGGCGGTCAGCTGACACGCTTCAAATGGGAAGTACCGAAAACCGAACAAAGAACCTGTGCCAAACCATGTGTCAATAGAAAAAAAAAATATCCGAGAATTTAATCAATTTTGTCCATTAATTTTTGTGAAAGAAAAAAATGAGAAAGAATACAAAGAAATGTTGTTGTTAAAAAGGTCTAAACCAGGTGTCTCCAACCTTTTTCACCCAGAGAGCTACCTTCCAGGGACGATTAGGGCAGAGAGCTACTCCTTTAAGCGGTAAAATTTGGTTATATATTAGTGTGAAAGAGTCTGATATTGGGTACAGTCATTATTTATCATTGTATATTTGTTACTAATGCACAAAGTAAGAGCATTTACAAAAATAAAAACTGATAATTAACTATACTATCTGGAATATTAAGCATATTTTTTGATTTGTTCATTTCTAAATCCTTTGGCGAGCTACCTGGAAGGGAGTGGCGAGCTACTGGTGGTTCCCGAGCTACAGGTTGGAGACCCCTGGACGAGAGAGAGAGGCCAGAGAGAGAACAGAGAGCGAGAGACCAGAGAGAGAGAGACCAGAGAGATACCACTGAGAGAGACCAGGGAGATACCACTGAGAGAGACCAGAGAGAGACCAGAGAGAGAACAGAGAGCGAGAGACCAGAGAGATACCACTGAGAGAGACCAGAGAGAGAGAGACCTGAGAGATACCACTGAGAGAGACCAGGGAGATACCACTGGAGAGAGACCAGAGAGAGACCAGAGAGAGAACAGAGAGAGAACAGAGAGCGAGAGACCAGAGAGATACCACTGAGAGAGACCAGAGAGAGAGAGACCAGAGAGATACCACTGAGAGAGACCAGAGAGAGAGAGACCAGAGAGATACCACTGAGAGAGACCAGAGAGAGAGAGACCAGAGAGATACCACTGAGAGAGACCAGAGAGAGAGAGACCAGAGAGATACCACTGAGAGAGACCAGAGAGAGAGAGACCAGAGAGATACCACTGAGAGAGACCAGAGAGAGAGAGACCAGAGAGATACCACTGAGAGAGACCAGGGAGAGACCAGAGAGAGACCAGAGAGAGAACAGAGAGAGAGAGAACAGAGAGAGAGAGAACAGAGAGAGAGAGACCAGAGAGATACCACTGAGAGAGACCAGAGAGAGAACAGAGAGAGAGAGACCAGAGAGAGACCAGAGAGAGATACCACTGAGAGAGAGAGACCGGCGAGAGATACAACTGAGAGAGAGAGAAAAAAGAGAGAGATACCACAGAGAGAGAGAGAGAGAGAGAGAGAAAATGATCTATTAGTATTTGCTAGTGTTTGTTGGAAGGTATGATATGGCCTTATGACTCTCCTGCTTATGGAACAAGCTGAGATCCTTTTATACACTTTGATTTCCGAATGCATTTCAAGAGACCCCTGGACTAGTCACGGTTACACTGTAGGGGGCGTCACATTCTGTACCACTCTAGCAGGCCTGTCCAAACTCAGGCCCGTGGGCCAAATGCGGCCCTCTGTGTCATGTTATCTGGCCCTCTACCTCACTAACGCACCATATCAAAGATACCAGTTCACAGTGTCATACAGCCAACTTCAGCTCTACCAATATATGCATGTTATTTGTTGTAAAGCTTGTTTTGTATATACTGGTTACTTGTTTTTGATTGTGGCACAAAATTGAGTTGCTAATGTAGCCAACGGCAACATTATTAAAGCTGATTTTATAGTTCAGAACAGTTTTTCCCCTCGACAAGTCTGGTAAATTAAAGTGGCCCTATTACACAAAAGTTTGGACACCCCTGCAGTACGGGCAGATCAGAACACGCCTTATGTAGTGCCCATTAAACATTTTAAGGCAGCGTTCTTAAGGATTAATAATGATTCATAAAAAATATTCATATTTTCCAAAATCAAGGCAAGTTTTTTTGTATAGCACAACTTGTACACCAGGCAACTTAAGGTGATGAACATTAGGCTGAGTTTTAAGGAAATGATTGCATATATGGCCCTGGAATAGTCTAATAATTACACTTTACACTGTTTTTGTTATGGCGACAAACCTAATTGTTTTATTTTAAATATTTCACTGAAAGACCACAGCGGAGAAACAGACAACTATCTATGAAAAAACAATTCTTAATCAACTCATTCACTGCCATTGACGTATTTGTCTGACACCTGTGATTTCTCTCCAACTTCGACTAGGGATTACAGAAGAACCAAACTAGCTAGAGACAAACTTATTTTTGCTGCTGAAAGTAGACAATCCAATCTTTCAGAATCTGGTTATATTTTGCGAATTTTTGTTATTTCTGTATTGTTTGTATATTAATTTTTGTCCATTTTCTCGTCAGCGTGACTTTTATGAATAGACCCAACACTGCAAACTAATGATGAAATAATTATTGCTTGATTTGTAGGGTTTTTAACTTTATCTGAGTTCATTCTGGCTGTTTTAATTAGTCTTATCTCAAGAAATTTCTCATTTTAAGGGAGACATTTCTTGTATCTTTAAAACAAAACAAATCTTACTCAATTTTCGACTTGATTTTTATCACTTTTTGCAGCGCAGGGAGAATAGCTACTGTATATTTCCGTATCTAATAAGGATCTTAATAAAAACAGCTGAAAACAGGCCTGACTCAAAAACAACCTTGTGATTTCCTTCTGTTTTTTACACCCGAGCCGCTCCTCTGTCGCCATAACACTTTTAAAACTATCCATACACACTAATGTTTAACTTTGTGACCCATTTAGCTACGTCAGAACTCGCTTTCAATCATTTGTTCCACTTTACAACACAACTGCAAATTGTTCACAAATTGAGCAGTGCTTTTGGTGCAAAAAGGATTTATATAAAGAATGGAAAATGTATTCTACCTACATCGGTTTCACACTCGGCTTAAGACGGTCATGGCAGAAAACAACACGACCACAGCTTTGCAAGCAGCTCGGCCATCGGCATCACCCGATTGAATTTTAACATATTTTTAGAGTTTTAGGCGGAGATTAAGACTTTTTGGAGTTGAACAGAAAATAATGACGCTGTTTAATCATGCTGTAATTGAAAGTGCAGTAAGATATATTATGTGTGTGTGGTTTGGGAATTTGACTGTTAAAACAAAAGCAGAACTTTACAGATTAGTGTAGATTAGTGGGAGTTAGGGAGCATCCATCTTTGCAGCAGATTTTTGAGGAGACTGTTATCAGAACGGCAAAGAAAATCACCTCAGACCCTTCTCATGTCCTCTACTCTCAGTATGAGCTCCTCCCATCAGGCCGCCGCAATTCCTAATTCCTGCCCACATCTGTGAACCTCCTGAATGCAGACCATGGAGCAGAGCTAATGGTTTATATCTGTCTTATGTGTATTTTCAATGTAGCAGCTGTGAGTCCAAGACACATTTCCTACGGGACATAATAAATCAATCTTGAATCTTGAGGTGAATTAACTACTCCGATTTCTAAGCGATTAAATCAGTTTTGCGCAAATTGGACCACAATCTCTGCAAAGCGTTCATTTGAGCACATTTTGACTGCCTTAAAACGGGATTTGCCAAAAGATCATTCTTGAAATAAGTCGTAAAGCTGTCCTCCTATTGGCAAATCTTGTTTTAAAACCACCATATACTCAAATTAAGTTAAAAAACAATAGATTCTAACAATTATTACCTCAAATGTTATGCTTCTTGCAGTGATAACATCATTCCACAGAGTAAGTGAAGGGTATCTCGGACAGGCCCTGGTTCGCACTGGTTGAATTTATGCACAATTTGATGTTTGTTTGAGGCAGATATTTGCACAGTGTCAGCACAGGACCTACTCAAAGTGATATTTTTGATTTGCTCTAATCTAAAAGTTAACATGACACTGTGAAGGGCACTTGTTTTGTTTGCTAACTCTGTCTTCTCCACGGCTCACGTTATTACACACCTCTCTCCAAAACCAACCTGACCTGTTTTCTGTTTTCTTTCCTTTTAGGTTATGTTCAAAGCCAAAGCAAAGTATTCCCCTGAACTTAATAAGTACAAGTAAGTCTCTGCACCACTTCTCTTTTAATGCATTTAAACTATGCGTCTGATCAACCTCGTGAACCTTGTGTCTAGGGTCCCTCTGCGTTTGTTCTTTCTGAGTCTGAGTATATTTTTCCTGGTGGTGAATATCACATGTGCGTTGTTGGTGCAAGGAGCTCTGGAGCGTTCGGAAACCTCAAGGTAAGACCCCTAAGCACACACAGTTTCCAAAGCTAGTGTGTCGACTCGATCGGCCTCTGTCTCTCTGTGGGACTAGTGCATTTAGCAGTTTGCAGTATTTTGAGTATTGACGAGAAAATGAAATATAGAAACTACAGAAAGAGTGCAGTAAAAACACATACTGGGATGGAATATGAGAGAAATCAAAACATCGTAGCTGCCAATCTATTTATGCATATCATTAGTGGTGTGGGGGAAAAAAAAATCTGTATTGGCCCCATGCATGTGACGTCCAGGCCACGCCCACTCTCCATGACACACGGCGGAAGTCTAACTGCAAGATTAGACATTTCATTTAATCAATGAAATTGACTGTGGAGAAGGTACAGGTCTACATCATAGACTGTATATATTAACGGACAGAGTCACGCCTATCTCCGCCGTTCTAACTAATGGGCCAAAAAATGTGCTCTACTGGAGCTATCCAAAATGGCCGCGAGTGGTCCCGCCCACAAGAAAATTGTAAAAAAAACCCATCTGCGCATGCGTCAGCCTGAGAGAGCTCCATTCATTTGAACGAGAGACTTCTAAAGTCCACAGCGACTAAACTAGAGTGGTCCAAAACACCCCCCTCAGCATTGACACACATGTGGAACGGAGCTTTGGGCCAAGAGCCAACTTTTGGTCCATCCTGTAAAGACGTTTTTGAGAGTTCTGCCAATGCTATATGTTAGCATTGGCTAATTCCAATACCACCCCCACAGGCCCGGGGTGGTATTGCAGCATGTCAGCGCACGTCATTTTGGCCACTTTTGAGCCGGGACCCGCCCACACTGGTCAACATCCAGTTCACCGATCCTTCACTTCTCCAAAAACAGCTCTTTGTGAGCCCTGACCTGATGTCCTACTTCCACTAATAACGTTGTCGAAAATGTGCTTGAAGCAGCCACTTCTCGTTTTAGGAGAGGAAGCTCAGTTTTTAAGAGTTGTGTCCGTTTTGCACTCACCACAATGCTAATGCAGTTTCCACTACTTTCCACTACTTCATGCACAATCACGTGACTGGATGAGGTCGATGCATCTGGTCAATACCTCTGCCATTTACCAGTGTCACCTGCACTGTCAAATGTGTGTACTTAGTTAGTTCGTGTGCACTAAAATGTCATTTAGATTACAACTTGTTTACCAAAGAAAATGTGTTTGTGACTTTATGTTCCTTACACGGGCACACAGTTGTTGTCTGCACAGTTAAATTAAACTAGTCTTTAAATGTACAAACAACCTCGCTCCCAATATCGCTGCAGGAATGATTGAGAAATGTGTAGCTCACAGGATGACCACTAGGGGCGCTGCCAATAGAGACTGCAGAGCAACAAGATGTAAAACATCATTTGGACAGACTGCGTTCGCAGTGAAAGGGCCACAGCTTTGGAACACGTTACCTGCAGAACTGAAAGCCCTAACAGACTTGAAGGAGTTTAAAATTAAAGTCAAACTATGGCTCAAAAGGACCCAAACTTGTGAGCATAATGCAAGACTGTAATCATTTATAGTATTTTTTGTATTTTTTTTGTATTTTGTATTGTATTCTTGTTTATTATTTAGTATAACTTATTACTTATTTTTAATATAATGATGTATGTATAATGTAAATGTGATGTATTTCTAGGTTTTAGGGACCAGGTCTGCAAACTAGCTGTTAGCTATACGGCCTATGAACACAGCATCGGTTCCTGTAACAATGCTTCTTGTTCTGTCCCTACCAAATAAACAAATAATAATAATAATAAATGACAGACATGCACACACACACACAGACACACACACACACCTACACAGACGTTAAAACTCGCCCTCTGTCTGCAGCGACGCCACCGTCCGACACACGGCCCTGGCCCGGGTGGTGATCAACGACAGCCTCTTCGTTCTCTGTGCCATTTCTCTCGCCGTCTGCATCTTTAAAATCGCCAAGATGTCTTCGGCAAATGTTTACCTCGAATCCAAGGTGAGACATACACCAGACATATATTTACTCTTTTTAATGTTATTGTACAGTTATTATTTAGGATTCCCATACATTTTATGATTGTTTCTATCTTGTTTTGTTCTGCCCTTTGTATGCCTTGTGTATCAACTGTGCTATACAGATAAACTTGCCTGTTTTGCTCCAGGGGACGTCCGTGTGCCAAGCCTCAGCCGTGGGCACCGTGGTCATATTTCTATACGTATCCAGGGCCTGTTACAATATGGTGGTGGTGTCTCTGTCGCCGCAGGACAAGCCAAATCCTTTCAACTACGGATGGTACAGCGTTTCCGATCAGGTACGTTCAGATTATAATCTTTCATTTGTCCCGCAGTGGGGAAATGTCAGTGTTGCATTACCGGTTACAGAACAGTGGGAATGAGGAGCACACAGCACAAGATAACTGAACAATAATCTTATAGTAAAATGAAATATAATCTCTTACTGAAGTATAGAATCTCTAACTAGCATAATAAAGAAGCTAGTATAGCATCTCTAGCTTTAGCATAATAAAGAAGCTAGTATAGCATCTCTAGCTTTAGCATAATAAAGAAGCTAGTATAGCATCTCTAGCTTTAGCATAATAAAGAAGCTAGTATAACATCTAGCTTTAGCATAATAAAGAAGCTAGTATAGCATCTCTAACTCTCTCTGGTCTCTCTCTGGTCTCTCCCTCTGGCTTCCCTCTGGTCTCTCTCTGGTCTCCCTCTGGTCTCTCTCTCTGGTCTCTCTCTGGTCTCTCTCTCTGGTCTCTCTCTGGTCTCTCTCTCTGGTCTCTCTCTGGTCTCCCTCTGGTCTCTCTCTGGTCTCTCTCTGGTCTCTCTCTGTCTCTCTCTCTGGTCTCTCTCTGGTCTCTCTCTGGTCTCTCTCTGGTCTCTCTCTTGTCTCTCTCTGGCTTCCCTCTGGTCTCTCTCTGGTCTCCCTCTGGTCTCTCTCTCTGGTCTCTCTCTGGTCTCTCTCTGGTCTCTCTCTGGTCTCTCTCTCTGGTCTCTCTCTGGTCTCTCTCTGGTCTCTCTCTGGTCTCTCTCTGGTCTCTCTCTGGCTTCTCTCTGGTCTCTCTCTGGTCTCTCTCTGGTCTCTGGTCTCTCTCTCTGGTCTCTCTCTGGTCTCCCTCTGGTCTCCCTCTGGTCTCTCTCTCTGGTCTCTCTCTGGTCTCTCTCTCTGGTCTCTCTCTGGTCTCTCTCTGGTCTCTCTCTGGTCTCTCTCTGGTCTCTCTCTGGTCTCTCTCTCTGGTCTCTCTCTGGTCTCTCTCTGATCTCTCCCTGGTCTCTCTCTGGTCTCTCTCTGGTCTCTCTCTTCCCTGGTCTCTCTCTCTGGTCTCTCTCTGGTCTCCCTCTGGTCTCTCTCTCTGGTCTCTCTCTGGTCTCTCTCTGGTCTCTCTCTGGTCTCTCTCTGGTCTCTCTCTGGTCTCTCTCTGGTCTCTCTCTAGTCTATCTCTCTGGTCTCTCTCTGGTCTCTCTCTGGTCTCTCTCTGGTCTCTCTCTGGCCTCTCTCTAGTCTCTCTCTGGTCTCTCTCTGGTCTCTCTCTCTGGTCTCTCTCTGGTCTCTCTCTGGTCTCTCTCTGGTCTCTCTCTGGTCTCTCTCTGGTCTCCCTCTGGCTTCTCTCTGGTCTCTCTCTGGTCTCCCTCTGGTCTCTCTCTCGGTCTCTCTCTGGTCTCTCTCTGGTCTCTCTCTCTGGTCTCTCTCTCTGGTCTCTCTCTCTTGTCTCTCTCTGCTCTCTCTCTGATCTCTCACTGGTCTCTCTCTGGTCTCTCTCTCTGATCTCTCACTGGTCTCTCTCTGGTCTCTCTCTCTGGTCTCTCTCTGGTCTCCCTCTGGTCTCCCTCTGGTCTCTCTCTGGTCTCCCTCTGGTCTCCCTCTGGTCTCCCTCTGGTCTCTGCTCTGGTCTCTCTCTGGTCTCTCTCTCTGGTCTCTCTCTGGTCTCTCTCTGGTCTCTCTCTGGTCTCCCTCTGGTCTCCTCTGGTCTCCCTCTGGTCTCTCTCTTGATGGTGTGTCTTTCTCTGTCGTTAGTACGCTGATGTGCATCCCTCCTGAGGGCGAGGCTGGGACGGAGATCCCGTGAGAGGTGCTGAACTGTGACACCCATCACTCAGGTCAAAGACAAACTGCTGGACACTGTTTTTACAAGGCATCCCCTTCTCCCTGAGACCTCAGGCCGACGACATGGACCTGGTACACTGTCACTCACCTGATGAATGATGATGATGAGGATGATGATGAGGAGGAGGATGATGATGATGATGATGATAATGATGATGAACCTATTAGTTTAGTATTGCTCTCCCTCTTGTCTCTGTCTCTATTCGCTCTCTCTAGTCTCTCTCTCTGATCTCTCTCTCTGGTCTCTCTTTCCGATCTCTCTCTCTGGTCTCTCCCTCTAGTCTCTCTGGTCTCTCTCTGGTCTCTCCCTCTAGTCTCTCTGGTCTCTCTCTCTCTGGTCTCTCCCTCTAGTCTTTCTCTCCAGTCTCTCTGGTCTCTCTCTCTGGCCTCTCTCTCTCTGGTCTCTCCCTCTAGTCTCTCTGGTCTCTCTCTGGTCTCTCCCTCTAGTCTCTCTGGTCTCTCCCTCTAGTCTCTCTGGTCTCTCCCTCTAGTCTTTCTCTCCAGTCTCTCTGGTCTCTCTCTCTGGTCTCTCCCTCTAGTCTCTCTGGTCTCTCTCTCTGATCTCTCTTTCCGATCTCTCTCTCTGGTCTCTCTCTCTGGTCTCTCCCTCTAGTCTCTCTGGTCTCTCTCTCTGGTCTCTATCTCTGGTCTCCCTTTAGTCTCTCTCTGGTCTCCCTCTAGTCTCTCTCTGGTCTCTTTCCAGTCTCTCTCAAATTAGTTTTTTTTCCACATGTTTCTGCCCCGTGGCCAGTTTTGATAGAGCCACAGAAGGCAGAAGTGATGTCACATTATTTCGGTGGAGATCATATTCACAGTTAGTAAATGTAGTGTGTGTGTTTTCAGAATGGCGTCAGGGCCGTCTCACCAGAATCATTCTTCAAGACGAAGATGTTACCACTAAAATAGAGAGTGACTGGAAGAGACTGAACACTTTAGCACATTATCAGGTAAGACAGGTTTATATTCAGTCCTGGACCCAGACTCTGGAACTAGCTCACTTTGGCCTTTTTAAATTAAAGCTCAAGACATATTTATTCAGACTGGCTTTTAACACTTTTTAAATCATTTTGATCTGTTATTGTTTGATAGTAGGATTGATCTAATGTGATTTTGTTGTAAAGTACTTTGGTCTCCTTGAGTGTTGTGAAGGCCTCCATAGGAAACGTATAATGTGTAGATTCAGATTCATTTATTTGCCATTTGCAGTAAAACCACACTGGAATAAATCTGTACAAGTCCCCAGTGTGTGCACAAGACAAGTACACACACACACTAGGTCAAAGTGTTTAAGACCAGTTTGCTTTGCTTCATCTATTGAATGTAATAATGTGTGTGTGTGTGTGTGTATGTCTGTGTGTGTGTGTCTGTGTGTGTCTGTGTCTGTGTCTGTGTGTGCCTGCTCGTGTCTGTGTGTGTGTGTGTGTGTGTGTGTCTGTGTGTGTGTGTCTGTGTGTGTCTGTGTCTGTGTCTGTGTGTGCCTGCTCGTGTCTGTGTGTGTGTGTGTCTGTGTGTGTGTCTGTGTGTGCCTGCTCGTGTGTGTGTGTCTGTGTGTGTGTTTGTGTGTGTGTGTGTGTGTGTGTGTGTGTGTGTGTGTCTGTGCGTGTCGGTGTGTGTGTGTGTGTGTCTGTGTGTGTGTCTGTGTGTGTGTGTGTGTGTGTGTCTGTGTGTGTGTGTGTGTGTCTGTGCGTGTCGGTGTGTGTGTTTTGTGTCTGTGTGTCTGTGTGCGTGTGTGTGTGTCTGTGTGTGCGTGTGTGTGTGTCTGTGTGTGCGTTTGTGTGTGTCTGTGTGTGTGTGTGTCTGTGCGTGTCTGTCTGTGTGTGTGTCTGTCTGTGTGTCTGTGTGTGTGTGTCTGTGTGCATGTGTGTGTGGGTGTGTCTGTGGGTGTGTGTGTCTGTCTATGTCTGTGTGTGTGTGTGTGTGTCTGTGTGTGTGTGTGTCTGTGCGTGTCTCTGTGTGTGTGTCTGTGTGTGTGTCTGTGTGCGTGTGTGTGTGTGTGGGTGTGTCTGTGTCTGTGTGTGCCTGCTCGTGTGTGTGTGTGTGTGTGTGTGTGTGTGTGTGTGTGTGTGTGTGTGTGTGTGTGTGTGTGTGTGTGTGTGTAGGTGACGGATGGTTCTCTGGTGGCGCTGGTCCAGAAGCAGGTGTCTGCCTACAACATCGCTAATTCATTCACCTTCACCAGATCTCTGAGCCGCTACGGTACAATAATACTTCATGTTACTGCTACTACTACTACTACTGCTGCTACTACTACTACTGCTACTACTACTACTACTACTACTACTACTACTACTACTACTACTACTACTACTACTACTACTACTACTACTACTACTACTACTACTACTACTACTACTACTACTACTACTACTACTACTACTACTACTGCTGCTACTGCTACTACTACTACTACTACTACTGCTACCACTGCGGCTTCTGCTACTACTACTCCTACAGTACTCCTGAGCTCTAATGGATAAAATATTGAAAATGAGTGAAGCAGATTTCCTGGACTACCATACACTTCTGCTTCTACATCGTTCCTCTTTGTGTATATTGGCAGAGTCACTGTTGCGGACGTCGAGCAGCCCGGACAGCCTCCGCTCCAGAGCTCCCATGATCACCCCAGACCAGGAAACGGGTGGGTAGCCTTAGCATTAGCATTTACCGTAAATACTAGCCTAAATAATAGTATTGAATAAATCTTTTTTTTTTGTGTGCACTCAATGTATTTTAGTTTTGTATTTTTCATTCACTCTACAGCCTTTTCAATCACCACCAATGAGGTCATGTTTTATTGTTTTTATTTAGGACCTACTATTTAATTTTTATTTGTTTTACTATGCTCTTTCCTGTAAATTCCTTTTTTTTTCCGTTTTGATTCATGCAGATGTGTAGCGCTGTATCCTTTAGTCAATAAAGTTTTAGTATTTTTTTTATTTTATTTCTTCAGGTACAAAATTGTGGCATCTGGTGAAAAACCATGAACACAGCGACCAGAGAGAAGGCGACAGAGGCAGCAAGATGGTGTCCGAGATTTACCTCACAAGACTGCTAGCTACAAAGGTACGCTAACACACTGATGGTACGATAAGACTGATGGTACAGGACCCGCTCATTGAAGTATTTTTAGTTACTGTCGATAGTGCCTTGGGTTTGTTCTTTTCCCCAACACATAAGTAAAGATTATATCCCGCTTATATCCTTTTCAAAACAGTCAGGATCCTGCAAAAGCGTCCTAGCAACCGTTGTCATGACCGAGACATTGAACTCGACAAATAGAAGCACAAATGTCGGTCAATCTTTGTGTTTCTTTAGTGGTGCCTCAGGTGGAGTGATACTGAACCTGTATAATAACATGAGGTTTAAAGGTGCAGTAGTTAGCTTAGCATTAGCATTCAAGTAGCACCGACCCTCCCCCCTGTCCTCCACCAAACCCAACCCCAGCACATGAACGTGTTTCTGTAATAACTCAGTCTGTGACGAAGCCTCAGCTTGAAATGTGAAAGAACTAAACTACTCAAGTCTGTGAGTGATTAGCCTGCTATACTCGACACATGCTAGCTTCACCAAACAAACTAGCATTTAGCTAAACTGGACTGCCGTAGCTTTACAGAGCCCTGTCCTGAGGCTTCTTATACAACGCCTTTTACATCTGAGGTTCTCTTCTTCGCCACAACAGGCGAGTGACAAATGTGGAACGGTCACTTTTTCGGTTCAGACATTGTAGGTTTTTTAGAAAATCCAACTCAATAACAACTCATTGGGTTCGTTCTTAAAAAAAAAAGAAGAAAAAGAGAAAAAAAAGGCGGCACAGTGGCTGGGTGAATAGGTCCCAGGTTCAAATCCCGGTCGGAACAGGGTCTTTCTCAGTGGAGTTTGCATGTTCTTACCGTGCCTGTGTAGGTTTTCTCCGGGTACTCCAGTTTCCCCGACTACTAAAAAACATACTCACTAGGTTAAATGGTTAAATTCTCCAGCTCCGGACCTGACCAAGCCGAGCATCAACCTCTGGAGATGGGTTCCCGGGCGCTGTTACTACGGCGACCACTGCTCCTGACGTAAGCCTCAGGGCATCAGGATGGGTCAAATGCAGAGGATGAATTGCACTACAGGGATTAATAAAGTGCACCTTCCATCGGCCCCAAAATATTAATGATTTATTTTCTGAGGCTACATCTGGTCGTGTCCGTTCTTATTTGAAACACATGATAACTTGACCTCTTTTGGGGTTTAGAGACATTATCTTGGTATTTTAAAGGTTGCGTCTGGCTAAATCATGGACTGCTTCTTTAAACTGTATAAAGAGACCATAGATGGCGTTGGAATGATCCGTGAGCGTTCTTTCTCCTCCTTCTTTAGGGCACGCTGCAGAAGTTCGTGGACGATCTGTTTGAGACCGTGTTCAGCACAGCGCACAGAGGCTCAGCTCTGCCCCTCGCCATCAAATACATGTTCGACTTCCTGGATGAGCAGGCGGACAAACGGCAGATCACGGACCCCGATGTACGGCACACCTGGAAGAGCAACTGGTGAGACGGAACTCCAAATATAATCTGCATAATCTATACATATAATCTACATAATCTAAAATGATCATCTTCATAATCTACAAACATAATCTATATAATCTACAAATATCATCCACATAATCTACAAATATCATGTACATAATCTACAAATATCATCCACATAATCTACAAATCCTCCCCCGTGGCGGAGGTTGAGAGATACCGTCTAGAAATAGTCAGAGTGGCTTGGCACTCCCTTAGAGATAGGAGTTCAGTCACACGGGATTAGCTCGGAGTAGAGCCGCTGCTTCTCCACGTCGAGAGGAACCAGTTGAGGTGGCTCGAGCATCTGTTCCGGACGCCTTCCTGGGGAGGTGTTCCGGGCACGTCCCACCGGAAGGAGACCCCGGAGAAGACCCAGGACACGCTGGAGGGACTATGTCTCTCAGCTGGCCTGGGAACGCCTTGGAGTCCCCCCGGACGAGCTGGAGGAAGTGTGTGAGAGGGAAGTCTGGGCGTCTCTGCTTAGACTGCTGCCCCCGTGACCCGGCAACGGATGAGGCGGAAGAAGATGGATGGATGGATGGGTTTTGTTCTAGCAACATCTACTGGACACAGAGGGATTTGGAAACATGAAAAACATATATCTGCTGATTATTAAAGTCTAATCTTCGGCTTTTGTCAGACTTTTGTACCTTTAGTGAGAACAAACACATGTACGTCTCGTGTCTGTCACTGAGGCATATTTCTAACCCCTGTGTTTCATCTTGACCTATTTCCTGGTGTCTCTCCCTTCTCTCCGTGTGAAGCCTGCCTCTCCGCTTCTGGGTGAACGTGATCAAAAACCCTCAGTTTGTGTTCGACATCCACAAGAGCAGCATCACGGACGCCTGTCTGTCTGTGGTGGCCCAGACCTTCATGGACTCCTGCTCCACCTCCGAGCACCGCCTCGGCAAAGACTCCCCGTCCAACAAGCTGCTCTACGCTAAAGACATCCCCAATTACAAGAACTGGGTGGAGAGGTACGCATACTTTATACTACTACTACTACTACTACTATTACTACTACTTTAAAAACATGCCCAACTACAAGAACTGGGTGGAGAGGTACGCATACTTTATACTACTACTACTACTACTACTACTATTACTACTACTTTAAAAACATGCCCAACTACAAGAACTGGGTGGAGAGGTACGCATACTTTATACTACTACTACTACTACTACTACTATTACTACTACTTTAAAAACATGCCCAACTACAAGAACTGGGTGGAGAGGTAAAACGACTTTACTACTACTTCTACTTTACTACTACTACTTTACCACTGCTACTACTACTACTTTACTACTAATATCCAACTTAAAGAAGCTATACCCGATTTTTTTTCTAAGTAGTTCATAAAAATGTTTATTACTACAAACAAGTTGTATTATAATCTGTAATTTAATGAAAAACTTGAGCTCGTTGATTTAGCTGTGTATGAATTAGCCTCTACAGCGCTGCTAAACACTAAGGCTTTGACTTCAAAAAGCTATTTAGTTCAAAAACTCTCTGGAATTACATGAAAACTGAACAAAGAATTCTGAACATCAGCGGTGAGTTACCCATTTATATACCGAACCTAAATCCAACAGATCCTCTGCAAATTTGTCCTAAAATGGAACTTGTAGTAATCTTTCAGTTATATATTTTGTTAGCGGTGCGTTACTTTTGTACCATTTCATCAGTGATTGTTGTACATCTTAAATTGCGCTCATGCTAATGTTAGCATATGTATCAGATCGCAAATAAAACAAGATGGCTCCGTGTTATGAGAGCGTAGGGGAAATGAGAAGCCTGTGAGCGAGTTGAGGGGCGGGGCTAAACATTCAAACCTGCAGAAACGGGTATAGTATGTATAGATTTACATGTCTAATCATCATTAAAGGGCCCTAACCTGTCATCATTAAAGGGCCCTAATCTGTCATCATTAAAGGGCCCTAATCTGTCATCATTAAAAGGCCCTAATCTGTCATCATTAAAGGGCCGTAATCTGTCATCATTAAAGGGCCGTAATCTGTCATCATTAAAGGGCCCTAATCTGTCATCATTAAAGGGCCGTAATCTGTCATCATTAAAGGGCCCTAATCTGTCATCATTAAAGGGCCCTAATCTGTCATCATTAAAGGGCCGTAATCTGTCATCATTAAAGGGCCCTAATCTGTCATCATTAAAGGGCCCTAATCTGTCATCATTAAATCTGTCATCATTAAAGGGCCGTAATCTGTCATCATTAAAGGGCCCTAATCTGTCATCATTAAAGGGCCCTAATCTGTCATCATTAAAGGGCTCTTATCTATCATCAATCATTAAAGGGCCCTAATCTGTCATCAATCATTAAAGGGCCCTAATCTGTCATCATTAAAGGGCCCTAATCTGTCATCATTAACTCATTGACTGCCCGCAATTTTTGATGACTTCACTGATTTTCAAGACCCACAGAATATTGTGTGCTATGACTATGACAAATATAAACTGATGGATGGATTCGTCTGCATATCTGGCAACCTGAGTCAGGGAGAGTGGGCGTGGCTGCAGTACCACTTTGGGCCACATTCTTACATTCTGCTCCTTCAAACTTTTGCAGTAGAGGATTATAAACAGATGCCTTTAGTCTGACTGTGTTGGTGCTGATCTCTCTTTCGTTGTCTCCGTCTTCAGATATTATCGGGACATCGCCAAAATGCCCAGTATCTCGGACCAGGACATGGACGCCTACCTGGTGGAACAGTCCCGTCTCCATGGCAACGAGTTCAACACCCTGAGCGCGCTGAGTGAGCTCTACTTCTACATAAACAAGTACAAGGACGAGGTGAGTACTGTCCTGGGGCGTTCAGTCGGGCTGCACGGGACTGGAATCTAAAGCGATATTCGATTTTTTAGTATTTCGATAACGATATTATTGCAGTAACCATATTATTTTGGTAACGATATTATTGCTGTAACGATATTATTGCAATAACGATATTATTGCGATAACAATATTATTGTGGTAACAATATTATTGCAATAAGGATATTATTGCGATAAGGATATTATTGCGATAAAGATATTATTGCGATAAGGATATTATTGCGATAAGGATATTATTGCGGTAAGGATATTATTGCGGTAACGATATTATTGCGATAAGGATGTTATTGCGATAAGGATATTATTGCGATAAGGATATTATTGCGATAAGGATATTATTGCGGTAATGATATTATTGCGATAAGGATATTATTGCGATAAGGATATTATTGCGATAAGGATATTATTGCGATAAGGATATTATTGCGATAAGGATATTATTGCGATAAGGATATTATTGCGATAAGGATATTATTGCGGTAACGATATTATTGCGATAAGGATATTATTGCGATAAGGATATTATTGCGGTAAGTAAGTAAGTAAGTAAGTAATCTTTTATTATACCGCCTTTTCACTGCAGATCTGAGTCTCAAAGCGGTTTACAATTGTTAATTTTTGGGCATTTATCTCTCACTCCACACAGAGATGGGAGCGGGGTCGCCAGTACAGGAGGCACATGCTAGAACTATTGGACATATTTTTAGTGGTAGGGGAAACCGGAGTACCCGGAGGAAACCTACGCAGACACGGGGAGAACATGCAAACTCCACTCAGAAAGGCCCTGGTCCGACCGGGATTCGAACCCAGGACCTTCTTGCTGAGAGGCGAGAGTGCTATCCACTCAGCCACCGTGCCGAGTAAAGGATAAAGGATATTATTGCGGTAACAATATTATTGCGGTAACGATATTATTGCGATAAGGATATTATTGCGGTAACGATATTATTGCGATAAGGATATTATTGCGATAAGGATATTATTGCGATAAGGATATTATTGCGGTAACAATATTATTGCGGTAACGATATTATTGCGGTAACGATATTATTGCGATAAGGATATTATTGCAATAACGATATTATTGTGGTAACAATATTATTAAGATAACGATTTAATTGCGATATTTTTGTCTTTCACCTAAAATTGCCATCTGCATTGAAACGCAAGAGACAAACAACAAAGAATAAGCACAACATTAATGACATTCAAATGCATGGATTTATGAACTTTTTGTTTGTTTGAAAAAAATGGAAAAAAATATGTTTTTTTTTTATTGGCCATTTTTTCCCTCTGGATATCGCACGCACCCATATCGCGATAACTATATTTTCCGATATATCGTGCAACCCAAATATAGAGTGAGCTTTCATCATTTCTCTGATTTATTTATTTATGTTTTCTAAGATCTTGACGTCGTTGGACAGAGACGGTTATTGTCGCAAACACAAACTGAGGCACAAACTGGAGCAAGCCATTAACCTGATGTCGGGGAGCAGCTGAGAGAGAGACCCACGGGACTGAGACCCACGGGACTGAGACCCACGGACTCGCAGGGAGCCCCCGTTCGGAGCGTTTCCTGATCTGCGATTCTGACCACTTTTTCAGCCAGTCTTGTCATTATTATTATTTATTCTCTCGGGGTGGGCTGCTCTCTGTGGTCAGCCGGACCCTCTACCAGAACCCAACTCCACACGCCAAGACTTGGGAAGTGGGATTTACGTTTTTAAACCCGGGATTCAGGTTTGAGTCTCTCCAGATGTCACACCCGGATCCACACAAACAGGATTTGGGTCTAAAACTGGAACATTTTTGCATCAGGAATCCACAGAAAACGCATGAAGGAGATCACCTCAGGATCCACAGCTTCGGTTTGGAGCTTAAAACCTTCTGCAACGAAACGAAACAAGGTTGAGTTCAGTTCAGTTCAGACTCTGCATCTGTAAGGAACCGGCGTCTGCGTCCGAAGGCTTTCAGAGAACACAAAATATGCAATAGATTTGACTTTATTTCATCTAAATTATGGTGTTTTACGTCAAATCGTGCGTGAAGTGAAAATCTGTTCATCTTAACTCATTGACTGCTGTTTTGATGATTTCTCTGATTGTCAAGGCCCACAGAAGAGAGTAGGACTTTGTGAGATATGAAACTAGATTCTGAAAGACTGGACTGACTCTACTCTAATCCTAAAAGCGAAGTTTGAAATTACCAGTCTCAGAAAAATGTGTCAATGGCAGTCAATGAGTTAAAACGATCACTGCTTTTCACTGCTTATATAAATTGGTCATTCACTAAATAAATTAGAAAATCACTCAATACTTGACCCTGAAAGTGGGTAAAACAAATGAATCCAGCTGTACCAGTCTCTGCGGAGGAAGGATTATGAGACAAATGAGACCTTCCTGAGACTTGAATGAAAACTTTAGCGGCTTCAGTCTGGACAAATTTCAGTTTCAGTCTAGTTTACTTCAAAGTGCAATTTAATAAAACACACAATTAAACATCAGATAAAAAAGCCAAAATTAGCCAAAGAGGTTATTTTCCATCTACAGTCCTCTGGCCGTGTGTGAAAAAACCACTAAAATACTTAAATACATATCTTTCTCTTTCTAACGCCGCATGTTTGAGACTCGATCGTTCCTCACAGATGTTGAGAATGAGAGAAATGGTTCTAATCCTTTGAATCGAGTTATTGCGTTTTTTGTTTTACTTTTTTCTCTGGACAATCACAGCCACAGCACACTGAGCCCGATGCCTAAACTGACCTCTTCCTGTGTCCATTGAATCCAAATATGGTTTCTTCTCCAATCACCTTTATTTAATTTATGAACGTTTTTAATGTCACTTTAGACTCCACACCTTGTTTTTATGCACCAACAAAAGATTGGTCGATTCAATTTAAGCAGAAATGTGAATTAACCATAGATTTTTTTATTCCAAATCCAGTTAAAGCAGCAGTCTGTAAACATGTGGCCAAAAGTGGTACTGCAGCCTCTCCCACTCTCCCTGACTCAGGTTGCCAGATATGCAGACGAATCCAGCTGGGACCATAACAGCTGAATAGACAAGAGTTTTGTCAACAACAAATCTATAACCAACACCTTTTTCACAAAGATAGAAATCCTGGTTTTATTCCTTGTTTTGTCGTTAATGATTTGAGAATCATAACAAGACCTTTTTTAGTTCTGCGCCACATGGTACTTTACCGGTGAGATTAGCTCCACGCGGTGAGTTCTGGCGCCTGGATCATTTCTGATTGGTGAAACGGTGGAGGGCGGGACATCGAAATGAAAGAAGTATTGGAAAAGAGCAGTTTATTATTATGACAGATTAGGGCCCTTTAATTATGACAGATTATGGCCTTTTAATGATGACAGATTAGGGCCCTTTAATGACGACAGATTAGGGCCCTTTAATGATGACAGATTAGAGCTCTTTAATGACGACAGATTAGGGCCCTTTAATGACGACAGATTAGGGCCCTTTAATGATGACAGATTAGGGCCCTTTAATGATGGCTGGACATGAAAATCTTACATATTGCTGCTTTAAAATCCTATTATAAAAAAGTAGTACCAAATACTCTCAAAAACAGATTAATGTCAGATTCTTACATTATATTTTCTAAAACGTTTCTTATAGAGATAAATAGTTTCTTTGATTTGAATCATTTCTGACCGTTTCATGCGTCACATTTGGCCGGTGCTGTCGGCCTATGTAATCTTTAGTAACTGCCCGACCAATCGAGACTGTGGAAACTTTGCGAGTATAAAACGCGGATTATTAATTTAAAAAAGTAGTTGAAATAGTTTTTAATCTACATTCCAGCAGCGGCACACGACACTCAGATCTGTAAATACAACCAGAGAGAAACCCTCAACTTGAATAACTTCTCATTTTGCAAGAATTCTGGACTTTTTTCTGGCACAGTTCACAAAGATTTGTTTTTGTTTTTGGTGAAAACGGCTTTAACTTGGGACTGAATGAACAATGCAGCCCGGAGGCTACAGGTGCCCGGATGGACAAAAGTGAAGAACAAACAATACTGTGCAAAGCTACAACAAGACGAGTGCCATGAACACATCCGGATCAAACTGGACCAAACTGGACCAAAATATTTCCAGGATTTCACTTTAAATCCCTGGGTTTGAAAGACTGTGGCCATAATTGTAAAACAGACTTTGAAAAAAAAAATGAAAGAGGATGATAACAATAATAATAATGATATGTATTTAAAAAAATACAAAAAAAATGCAAATTATTGTAATAAAATGTTGTGGATTTGAAAGATTTTACGGGACTTGTATAAAGCAGCCTCTTCATCACATGTTTTGGAGAAAGGAGAACCACCGAACGATGAAGAGTGAAGGTTATGGGTCAAAAAGACGGACGGTGCTTTTGTAGAACCACTTTTTTACTTTCGCTTTCATTCTACGCTTTCTCGAACTCGGCAAAAAAACGTCGAGCCAAGACATATTTTCAACATTTGTAAATACGCCCCAAAAGCTCCGAACTGTTTACAGGAAGTGGAACAAGTGAAAAGACCAAAACCACAGCTGCACAAAGATTTCACTGCGACGACGGAAGATTTCCGCATTAGCTTAGTTTCTATCGCTTCAATATAGTTCTGGTCTTTTTCTCTAAACCGCTGCTTTTGGACCTTTTGTTTTTGAAGGTTACAACGTTTTTCCCAAAGTTGGTTTTAGATCCGTCCACGCTCGGGCTGGGAAAACGAAATTCACAAAAAATGACATTCAAACACATATTAGTCATTGAGGCATTGATGGCCGGCTTACACTGCCCTCTGGTGGACAAACAAGTAGCTGCGGGAACTTTTTATTGTATACCCACAGAGATATTACAAATATTTAGCCGTCAAAATATGTAAATTTTCAAATATTGATTAAACATTTAAACTTGAATCTGGTTTTTAAGCTAAAAGGTATAGAGGAGGATTTTCTACTTCATCCTCCAGACTATTGGTCCTCCCACTTGTCAATCATTCTGGGGATACGTGCTCGTCCAATAAGAAGTGGAGAGGGCGGTTCTTTCCTAAAATTTCAGAAAATCCTCGTATATACTTTTAATTCCCAGTTTTAATCCACGCTAATACTAAGAACTTTTGACGCAAACATTTAACTCCGCCCCTTTTGTCTAAAAAGTTCTAGTCTCTGTCCCGAAATATTTTGACGCCACGACTTTGATTCACAATTTCAAAACGAGTGTCCGTAGATTATTCTGGGGACTTGGAAGTGAAATGACGTTCTTTACAGTCACACCTCAGCAGGTTTTTGCAGAAATTTTAAGACATTTGACATTTAAAAACATAAAAAAACGAATCCAGCTCCTCCCCCTGGTGGTGACATTTGGAGTTACAGGCAAAACGTATTTAGAAAAAAAAATCTTTACTTGTTCCACCTTTTTGTTTTCTACTTGTATTATTCACATTCTGAAACACAAAGTATGAAAGTGAAAAATCCCTTCATGTTTTTAAGCGACAAAAACAATTGTATATTTTTATTTTATTGTAAACGTTTGCTGCTTCGGTTCCTTCGGTGGTTCTCTTTTTGGAGCGTCATAAAGTTTCCACCTTGTTGTTGTCGAGTGTTTATTATTAGACGGATTTCATGAAATGTTGGCGTTCAGGAAATCCCCAAAATAATGGGTAAAAATAAAACGGGAAGAGAAGAGCTGGAACGAAACCACTGGAGCTGAAGGAGTTTGGAGCCGCACCGCTGGAAAAGACCTCAAAAAAAGAATTGGTTCTGGGTCAACAATGAATGAGTAGAATATCTTTAAGCAATAAAAAAAACGTATTTATTTCTGGATCTAGCAATAATTTTCTCACGTCGTTTGTGAATGTAAAGAGATGAATGTACTTTTCATCTTTCGTTTGTTTTTCTTGACGGGGCTGTGACGGTTTCTGCTTTTCCTCTTGTCGTTTTAGTGAGTTTTCAGGTGTGTAGAGAGACATCCAAGAGCGAAGAGTGGACTTTAAAATAGAAATAATGTTAACGAATGGGAGGCGTTGATTGGCTGCTTTTTGTAAATAACAGGAAGTCATATATTGGGAAACTGCTTTGGCTCTCAGTGCAAACACCTCAAAAGTAAAGAATAGAGTAAAACACTGTAAGAATCAACATTTTCAGCCTGAATAGAAATAAATCAAAATCAAAAACTTGGCTCGTATTAAAAAACAAAGCGTTTCAGCAGCGTTTCAGTCTCTACGTTTGAAACTCATGCAAGAGCAGCGCTGTAGAGGCTAGAGGACGCAGCCTCGCTCTGTGATTGGAGGAGAGCGGGCGTCACGCTAAAGTCTACGCAGCACTTTTTGCGCCTGAATTCATACACAGCTGAATCAACGAGCTCAAGTTTTACATTCAATTACAGATTATAATACAACTTGTATGTATAAGCATTTTGATTATATGACTTGGACCGTACGCGCGCTCTGATTGGCTGATTTGCGGTCTGATATTTTCCCATCTCGGACCGTTACCATGACAACGGTCCGCAGTGCGTATCACACTAAAAACTCGATAAGGAAAAACCAAGTCTGACATGAACATACTTCACAAACATTCAATTTCTGTCTCTTTTGCAAACTTGTTTAAAATGAAGCAATATTGGTTAAGTCCGATTGGTTCCGTGCGGTGGCCCGGGCTCGGACTCCTTCAGCTCGGACCCAAACCTCTTCTCTCAGATATTTATTATTTGATTTGTTTTATTTATACTGTTTTCTTTTTTTAATTTATTGACGGTTGTACATTATTTGTTGCACTGGAAACTGCGATGTAATTTATCTGTTGTCGTCATAGCAACAGCGGCAGCCAACCACAGGACTCGTGCGTTTTGAAAGGAGTCCGTGTTTACTGTACCATACTCTGTCACGTCCTGGTGTTCGTGAGCGGTGGTTCTCAGACACAGTCACTTCTCACGGTTTTGTGTTTATATTTTTGCTGCTTTTTTTATATTTCATGGTGTTTTAAAGCGATTCGTTTGAGAAGCACCGCTCGTTGTGTGTCTTAATTCAGGGAAAAGGCGACTCTTTGCGGAGCATTGGGCAAAACTAGCGTCGACAGATTTGTTCCTTTTTATTAACCCTATGAATGTACACTGTGATATGAATAGTTTTGTTGAACATTTGAACTGAAGATCTTTTTCTCCTTTTTCTAATTTGACGGCCCAGTTTTAGCCCAATCTCTGCTCTGATTGGCTGCCATCCTGAATTCAATGCGTCTCATTGGTCCACAGTCGCCGAGAAGCGGTTGTTTGGACCCAACATTGCCTTCATTTGAATATTTTGACTCTTTGAGCTGTTTTTGCTGTTTTAAAATGTATTGTACCATTCTGCCTTTTTCAGTTTTCACTAAAGTCTCATCCAACATGGGCTCACGGTGTCTGCGTCATTATTGCTGCTTTGCCGAGTCGTTGTCTGTTTAAAGCTGTAGCCACGCCCATCTCCACTGTTGTAATTTATGAGCCATTACTTTAGCCTTCAATGGGAAAAAAAAAATCAAAATGGCTGCTGGCCAAGAATATGTGAAAAAACCTCATTTGTGCATGTGTTAGCTGTATTCAAAAGTCCACAGCGGCTAAACTAGACTGAGGCTGAACCATGAGACCAGCCTAGATCCATGGAGTCCCCTCGATCCATGCCCTCCTATTTCTCAGGGAAAATATCAACAACTCCCTATTGGAGGGACCTGTTGAGGTCTCTAAGAATTGGGACGAGCCAAAAAGCACCCTGAAGAAGAAGAAGGAACCCTGGTGGTGAAGAAGAAGAAGGAACCCTGGTGGTGAAGAAGAAGAAGAAGGAACCCTGGTGGTGAAGAAGAAGAAGAAGGAACCCTGGTGGTGAAGAAGAAGAAGAATGAATCCCAGTGGTGAAGGAGAAACCCTGGTGGTGAAGAAGAAGAAACCCTGATGGTGAAGAAGAGGAAGAATGAATCCTGGTGGTGAAGAAGAAGAAGAAGAATGAATCCCGGTGCTGAAGAAGAAGAAGAAGAATGAATCCCGGTGCTGAAGAAGAACAAGGAAGAAGAAACCCTGATGGTGAAGGAGGATTACTGGTGGTGAAGAAGGAGAAGAAGGACCCCTGGTGGTGAAGAAGAAGAAGAAGCCCTGTTGGTGAAGAAGAAGAAGGACCCCTGGTGGTGAAGAAGAAGAAGGAACCCTGGTGGT